TGTGTCAAGTCTTTCAGAATCTGGTGCAAAGGCCCCTGGGGCTAAGAAAAAACAGAGAAGCCTTTCAGCCGCTGATCATTGTCTCTCAACTTCTTAGTCGGCTTTTAGAAATGGAAGTATGGCACAAAGTAGAGAGCCCAGGACCACAGGAAAGATGACAAAAGTTGTCTCTACTATTTGTTAATTGAGAATTTATCCATCCAATATTGCCTCAGCATCTCCTTTTGTTCAGCCCTTCACTAGGTCCTGGGGATATAGAGATGTAAGGCATAGCCCTGAACTTCAGAATTCACCAGATGCTCTCATTCATTACCTCATTTTAATGAGTAATACAACAAATACAATTCCAGTAGGTTTTCACTTCTATGGCAGATATTTACAAGCAGCTGAGGAAACAGAAAAGTCCCTGGACCAGATTGAGGAAAAAGAGGGTCTCGGGAAAGCTTCTGGAAGAAGACCCATGTATGTTTTTGAATACAGAGGAATTAGTAAGATAAAGGAGGTGGGAACACCGGCCTATGGGGATCGCTCATTATTTGCTGAATATATGAATTAGAGAAGCAGCATGTGCCAAGACAGAGCTATGACAGCATAATGTCTCAGGGGACCATGACTATTTCAGCACGTGGGGCTGCATTTCCCCCACTGATCTGCTCTCCTGTTGTCTCCTTCCCCACCCCTAGCGCCTAAAATACACATTGGTCTTGACCCCAAGGAGGAAGAAACCTCCTGGTGGTACAGCAACTGGAGCAGAATACATAAGGCCTTCCCGTTCCCACATACAAAAGCACTACTATGGGACTGCTAAACAAAAAATTATCTAAACACATTTCATCTCCTTTTATAAGTCCAATGAAGAAAATCTTTTTAAAAAATGAATGCTTCAGCTGTGCAAGCAAAGTGGCGGAGCAGGGTGGCAGCTCTGCACCCAAACAAGAAAGGCAGCTGAGTGCCTAAGGGGGCTGGTTACATACAGGGGGGCTGAAATGCATATTGAGGATAATGGGAGCCAAGTTTCTCACTGCCCAGGTAAGGAGTCAGAAATATGAAAAAGGAGAAGCTAGAATGAACCTTCTGGTGTTGGATTAGAATTAACAGTACCAGAGTAAACTAACAGTTTTCAATATCCATGTATTTACATAAAAATATAGATGTAAATGTGTATTTATTTTTTGTGTGTCCACCAAGAGGTCTTGGGGAGCGGTGAGACTCCCAGTAACAATGAGCACATCCAGAACAAGGTTTTGGTTTCTAAATACAAATTCCATTGAAGGGAACCAGAACTCCTTGGAGAAATGGCTGATTCCAGGGCTGGGCACAGAAAGTGCAAGAGCCCAGCATATATTTTTGTGCCAGAAAGTAAGGAAGTACTCAGAGTGGTAAGGGCACATCAAAACAGAAGCCGGCTTTAAGACAGCACACAATGGAAACATAGAACATTCAAGTACCAAAATAATGATAGTAATAGATTATATACCATTGAATAAAAGGAATGAGTCCATACAGATACAAACAATAAATGGGCGGGGGCAGGGGAAGAATGCCAGAATACAGGAAGGAGTGCACGAAGAAACGTAGAAGGAATTATTGAAATTGAAAATCATCCCTTGGCAACCATTATAATATTAATTAACTCAGGCAAGAAACATCAATAGATACTAAAAGTAATGAGCAAATTTTTGAAGAGAAATAGGATATTTACAAAGGTTCAAAATATCTCGCCATAAAAGTACTTATGAAATACAAAGGGACAGAGAGTATCTTTCCACGGGAGAAACCTGGCAGACACCACTTTCCTTAAGTGGTCAAAGTGAACATCACCAGTCATGGGACAAATTGACACCCTGGGCCACCTCATGGGACACAGTGAGAAGAGCACAGCAGCACTTCTATATTTCTTCCATCAGTGCTCCTGGTTCTCAGGCCTTACACCAGTGAACCAGTGTTCTCCCACTTTCCTCCAATGACAGCACACCGTGGGACTTCAAGGCCTCCATAACCATGAGCCAATTCCCATAATAAACCTGTCTATCCATCCACTCGCCCACCCATGCATCCGTCCATCCTACTGGCTGTTTTTCCGGAGAACCCCGATTTACACAAAGCCCATGTAGAGAGCTAATAAAAGTGTAGATAGAGCTTCTCAATCTTTTCATCATGGCAAACATACTTGTACAACACACTGGGGAAAACAGATCGGGCGTTTTGGGGTTATGGTTGAGGAAGACAGGTTCCCTCCCTGCCCTGAAGACCACCACGCAGGCTGGAGAAGAAGGATTACTATCTCTGAACATCTATACCCATTGCAAGCTGAGTTGGGAAATTGTGAAATAGGGAAATGAGGAAGGCCTAGATCAAAGGCAACAAGAATGGAAAACTAAGTTTGTCTGACACATGAGGCAAAAGTTTGGGATGACTGCTTTCTAATTTTTGCTTGTAGAAGACAAGTTAGATCATACCTGTTAAAGGATCCATTACTATTAAGTCGGCCTCTTGTCACAGTATTTCAAGCTCAATGGCAGAGACCATTTTGGCATCTGCTGCACCACTCACATGAAGCACTGCATGTAAAGCAAATTTGTCATCACTGTTTCTTTGGTCCTTTCATCCTCCTCTCCATGGTGAAAACATTACTGAGGGGCCATTGCTTTCCAAATCTAACTACATCACGATAACCAACTACAACCAATTTGTCATTATCAATATCCTTGTAGTTCCCCAAACATTAAAAGTGCTGTATCTTTTTCCTAACATGTTCAAGCTTTTAGTCCCTACCTCATCATTGTCCTTCCCGTCCTCCCATCCCCAAACAACACACGCACAGTAGTGGAAACTACCCTGCCACCCAAACAAGTCCATCTGCTATCCTCCTCCCTCAAGGGTTCCACCCATTCTCTTCTTCCAGCTGTGGTTAAAATACTTCCTCTATCTGCCCCAACCTCCACCCCAGGGCCCAAAGATTCCCAGATGCATTCATCTGACTTCTGTTTAGGTTGACTTATCACTATGCTAGGTGCTTTTGACAGTGTCTGCAGTGCTGAATTCCATTTTCTTACTATCAGAACAAGAAAACAGCATAGCAACAACTAAGAGAAATCTCAAAGTAGTCACTCAGACATCACTAGGCTAGTACACCAGGCAGACAATGTTCCTTCTTCTGTGAGTGGAGATACTGCGAGTGCTAACACTCCTCTGGAAAGAGCCTGTGACAGTCACACAGAAACCAAACTAAAGCTAAGACCTGAAGTTAAGAGTCTACGAATGCCAAAACAGGACTAAAAAGCATCACATAACTTGTGACGGACTAGTCAGTTTAGGACAGTGGTGGCAAAATTTCTCTATTAAGGGCCAGAGAGTAGGTATTTAGGCTTTCCAGGTCATATAGCCTTTGTGTCAATAAATGTGAATCATAATTTTCACATGATAAATTTTTAAAAAATCCATTAAGAAAAGTGAAGATGATCTTTGCTCATGGACCATACTACAGGTTGTAAGCCAGACTTGGCTCATGAAATTGTAGTCTGCCAACCTCTCTGGCTTAGAACAAAATGGAAAATGGACAGGAGAGGATAACTGAAAGAGCATGTGTCCGACAAGAAGTACTCATGCCCTGAAATTGCTTTTGGTTGAATACTTTGGTAGCAGCTTTATGCCCTGAAATTTACTTTGGGGTTGAATACTTTGTGGCAGCTTTATGCTGGCTGCTAGAACGAACACACACACGCGCGCACACGCGCATGCACACGTGCACACACACGCGTGCACACACACACACAAATAGGAATTCTACTGTAATCTCTAAAAGCCATCATGACTTCTGACTTCCATCCCATCACCATTATGTGTTGGTTGAGAAAAGAACCAGGGTACCCAAGAAAAGCTATCTAGTGCCTGGCCTCTTATATGCTATATTCACCAATTACTAAAGAAAACAGAAGTATCAGTGATAAAGGCATTGTCAACTTTCAATCTAAGATTGTATGTGAGAGAATCACTTAAAAAATGAGAAATGCAATGTTGGATGTATTGAAAATATTTTATAATCAATTCTCTAGAATCCTAGCCATCTAGTACAGGAAAAAAATGGTGGAACACTTCAGTATTTTTAAACAATGAAAAGAAATATTTAACTAAAGGATGGCATAAGAATTTTACAAATATGAATTTAGGTTTCCTCACATTTTCCATAGAGCAACTAAACAGTAAAAATATTTCAAGAAATAGATGACAGTATACCTCAAATGCAAAATTCCAAAGTCAAATTAGCCACTTACATCAAGAGTTTTACCAAAACTGTTTGTAAATTAAACAATAACAGCAAAAGGCACAAAAAGCCTATTTCTTTTATGGCGTCTTAGTTGATTCTTTAAGAAGCAGATAATCAGAGTACTGTAAAGAATGGTCAAAACTTGGCCTGAGCTGTCTTCTGGTAACTGTTATCCTACTATCTGTAGTTTTGTTGTTCAAGACAAGAGCTCCATGCCGCCAATTTCTGCTGTCACCTTCCAGAGAAAAGAAGCGGCAGCCGTTGGGGTATTTTTGTTTTGTTTCCAATTTTCACTATGCTCTGAGCAGTAGGTAGCAGACAATGTCATAAATAAATGAGAATATTCCATTATCCAATCAGAAAGCCACCCCTTTCCAACCCATTGCTCTGCCTTGAAAGATGAACATATTTACGAATTCTTATTTTGTTCTCCTGAGACATTATGCATGATCCATTATAAAACATACAGATAATACAAAGTCCAAAAATCTGTCATGTTTATGAAATAAACATGAAAATTAAACATGATACACTGTGAGGGAAAATCATGGTTTCATTTATTTTTATAAGATATAGGTCATGAGTACATAACGAAAAAGCTTAAAAGTCATCACCAAACTGTGCTATGGATATTGCAAGAGATTATGCAGGGAGAAATCTGTGCAAATTCAACTTCTTACTCAGTATCAGATGATAAAAAGTTTATCTTTAAATAGTCCTGCTTATATTAAGGAAAACAGAAAAAATGTAAACAGTAACTGCCTATGCTTGTACAGCTTCTCAAATCATGTTAGAAGGGTCTCACATTCAATGATCAAGAAATTTTAAAATAGCAGTATTTTCATTTTAAGAAAAGGTTCCCTTTCTCCCTCCCCTAACCCAAGTATTTAACATGAAAGAATGGGCTTCCTTACATATTAATTTTATGCTATGTAAAGCAGCAACAATAACCATCAATAATTTGGCATGTTTGTTTACAACTGCTCCAAAAGTTTTTTCAATTTCACAATGCCATTATCCAGTGTTGCCATGAAACAGAGACTGTAAATTTCTAGGTAGCAAAGATTCTTTCTGGAACCAATGTTAAGTCAAAGAAATATAAAGCAGGGCATTACACTAAATTTCTGGATCTAGTACACTAAAAAGAGTGAAACCTACGAAGTTACCTACATTTTAATAGAAGAAATAAAGATCTGCAAAAGCTGATTTTTGGTTGTATAATATTTTACACACTGTGTGGATTTGCGGCATCTGCTGATTGAAGCAGACATGCACTGTATTTATCCCTGCCCTATGTCCTAGATCCCTCCCTCCCCACCCCTACCAATCTACTACCTTATACCAAGTATTGTGGATATGAGCCCAAGTCATCCCAGACAATCCAGTGAACAAAGTTAGTGTAATGCACTGGTGTGAAGTGTGAGATACAAAAAAGTTCCTTTCAATCTTCATCAAAGTTCTGCTGTAGAAGAAAATTGGCAGCCAAATTCTCATTCTTCTCACAAGCAAAATATGCTTGTATCACAAGTCCTTCAGGAAATCCTAATGCCTTTAACTGGAAGAAAAAAAGGTAAAAAGAAAAAAAAAAAAAAAATATATATATATATATATACATATGTATATAAATTCAACCCAATTACGGCATATTTAATTTTATTTACATATTAAAGGTTAAAGCATAGCACTATTGACAGATAATTAAATGAAAACATACAACACAAAAAAGCTCTTCGGAATTTGACATAAATTCATCCCTATCTGGATATGGATTTATTGTCCAACCCAAGAGTCTAGATTCCATCTAGTCCCATTCCTTTTTTTTAAAAAAGATGATTGGTAAGGGGATCTTAACCCTTGGCTTGGTGTTGTCAGCACGCTCAGCCAGTGAGCAAACCGGCCATCCCTATATAGGATCTGAACCCGTGGCCTTGGTCTTATGAGCACCGCACTCTCCCGAGTGAGCCACGGGCCGGCCCTAGTCCCATTCCTTTAACAGCCACCTAAAAAAAGTCTTTGTTCCTAGTTAAAGCTATTAGACTAACAGATACTATGCAAACACTCTTTGGCATTTAACACTAAAAATTAGTTGCTCGCTGTCGTGGTTTAAAAATAAATGAAACCTACAGAAATTTGTAAATCAAACAACTTTTAGTATATAAAGAGTGAAGATAAGAAGGAGAATACCTGGGGAAGAGTTTGAGTACCTCACCTACTTATTTGTAACAGCAAATTATGTTTTACTTGTTAAAACAACTCATGTCTTTCATTCGGATCAAACATCACTCTCAATCTCCTTGCCTTATTCAATACTTCATACTAGAAAGACAGGCGATTCGTTATTAGCAACATTACATGATATATTTTGAAATCAAGACATAGTGTTCTATTTTTATCTCGTTAACATTTATTGCATGTTTTCCAGTCCATAACACTGGGAGGACTGACTGGTTAGCTCAATTGGTCAGAGCATGGTGCTGATAACACCAAAGGTCAAAGGTTCAGATTCCCCTACAGGCCAACTGCTCCTCCCCCCCAAAAGAAAAAAGGATGGTCACAACACTGGGGGAGAGAAATAGCATTTTAAATGGTGATACCAGCTATTTCATTTTCCTAGTCTATTAAAAAATCGTTTGTGACTCAATACTCACTACTTTTAAGTCTTTAAACACCAAGGTCAATTACCTAACTCACTAGATACTATCATTTGTCAGCCAAGTGTTATTTATGAACACACTCCTCAATTGTCTCAATCACCTTGTGGTTGACTCTATCTAGAAATGACCTTTGAAAACTGGGCAAAAATCCCAATTCAGAACGATAACTATTCATCTGTGAAAGGAGAAGTAAGAAACTAAAAAATGAGTTTGTTATCTAGGTCTTGTCCAGATTAATGCTAGGCTAGCTGAAGTAAAAGACAGACAG